CTTGTCAACTTGACACACAAATCACTGTTAAGCCACAACCTTTCCTTTCTTATTCATCCCCAAGATTACACGTTAATATTGACATCACAATATAAACTATTTTCAAATCTTAAAGTCCCATAGTCTTACAAATCCAAACATTTTAAAAATTTAAACACTAGCGGGGCGGCAGTGGCACACGCCTTTAATCCCAGCACTCAGGAGGCAGAGGCAGGTGGATCTCTGTGAGTTCGAGGCCAGCCTGGTCTACAGAGTGAGATCCAGGACAGGCACCAAAACTACACAGAGAAGCCCTGTCTAGAAAACAAACAACAAAATTCAAACACTAAAAATTCCAAAGTATCTTTTAAAATCCAAAGTCTCTTAACTGTGGGCTCCCAGTAAAATAAAAAATTAAATAATTTCTCACTTCCAAATGGAAGAACCAGGGCACAATTGCAATCTGAACAAAGCAAAATCAAACTCCAACTGGGTAAATCACTCAATATCCAATGTCTGGGATCAACTCACTTTCTTCGGGCCCCTCCGAAGGGCTTTGGGTCACTTCTCTGGCTCCACCCTCTGGAGCACACACAGCTTGTCTTCTAGACTCCCAGCTGATTCCACTCCGCACTGCTGATGTACTTAGTGGTTATCCTATGGCACTGGTATCTCCAAAATGCTGGAGTCTCTGGCTGCAACGGGGCTGCCCTTCACCAATAGCTTCTCCTGGGCTCTCTTCGGGGACTCCAGCCCTACCACACAGTGCCAAGCCTCTGCTGCTCTCCGTGACCCCTTCACACCTCCAAAACCAGTACCACCTGGGTGACTCTTACACTAGTTCAGGTGCCAGCCAGCACGAGGTACAACTTTGGTGACCTCTGGACCACAGCTTCTGTGTGCTGACTCTCAGGAAACACTTCCCAGAAGCTTTCACCTCAGTGACGAGGCTCCTTAATCCCAGCTGATTCCTCAGCCCCAGCTAATCAGCATCCAGTGTCCCAGCAAAGTAAAGGTTTCACTTTAGTGGTTCTGGTCTCTCGTTAATCACAGCCGATTCTTCAACTCCAGCTGACCAGAGCCACAGAGTTGTCACACGAAAGGCCTGGTACAGCATTTGCTCCCTCTGAAACTTCACAAGCTCGGCCCCTACCATCTGCACTGCTCTCAACGTTCCTTTTTTTTTTTTTTTAGCACAGCTGTGTTTAGTAGTCATAATCACTCAAACACTGTTCTCGCCATTATCATCAACATTGCTTTGTTATTAATCCCTGGGCTTTCCCCCCTGCTTTTAATTTAGCTAAAAAATCTATTTCCCCACAAGTAATTTTTTATAGCAGTCCCAGAAGGAACTAACAGACACTAGTACATACAAAAAAATTGTCCATACACTTTGGTTTTATGCTATGTTTTGTTGATACTCATGGGAGACCTGCCCTTTCTTAGGCAGAAAGGAAGAGTGGATTGGGGGTGGTTAGTGTTTCATATAAGTGGACAATGTTATATACATCTTCTGCTAGGAATAGCTGGATCTAAAAAATTTGATGCCCAAAAACATGAGCACACCTCACAATAACCACTTTGGAGTCTGTGGTGCCTAGACGTCTCTTGATCAGTTTTTCATGGGATTAAAATTAAGTGATTACTCAAGTTCTGTGCAAGGTTTGGCTTGTAGATGTTTCCCAGGAGACACTATATCCCTCAGCACATTGAGGTGATAATGGCCATTACTCTCAACATTCCTATCTTCCCAGTTCCTGCAGAATGGCTCACTGAGCTCTCAACACTCAATGGCTTTTCTAGCCCACAGTTCCAAAGTCCATTCACACTCCTCTCCGACAACACAGTAATACCCCACTCCTGGTAACAATTGGTCTTAGTTAGGATTTCTGTTGCTGCAATGAAACACCACGACCAAAAGCAAGTTGGAGAGGAAAGGGTTTATTTGGCTTACACTTCCACATCACTGTCCATCACAGAAGGAAGTCGGGACAGGAACTCAAACAGGGCAGGAACCTGGAGACAGGAGCTGATGCAGGGGCCATGGAGGAGTGCTGCTGACTGGCTTTCCTCCTCATGGCTTTCTCAGTCTGCCTAGGACCAGCAGTTCAGGAATAATGGGCTGGGCTTTCCCCATCAATCACTAACTAAGAAAATGCCCTGCAGGCTTGCCGATAGCCCAATCTTAAGGAAGCGTTTTCTCAAGTGAGATTCCCTCCTCTCAGATGACTTTAATTTGTGTCAAGTTGACATAAAACTTTGCAGCAGCGTCAGTATCTGGGAAACCATGGAAACTCTTTCTACAGTTCCTGAGGCTCTTCTGTGGGAGAACTTTGCAGAGAAGATGGCCTGGGCATGCCTTTTGCTTGGTAGCAGTAACAGATCACAGTGGCCTGTATTATTGGGCACTTTCAAAGCACTAGGCCACCTTCTCAACACCCTCTGCCAGCCCCCCCACATTACAGGCTGTGGTGATTTCCTCTTGGCAGCAAAGAAACCTGACAAACAGGCTGAGGAAGTGACTTGCCCTGGGTCCCACAGCCTGAGTCCTGTGGCGTGAGCAAGTTCCCAAAGCCGCACATGCTACATCTGAAGTTGCTCTGCTCTTTCTGAAACACTGAGGGAGTGGGGTCGGGGTGCAGGACTAAATTTGGTTAGGTCCAGCCGAGCCTAAAGCCATTGGTTTAAACCCGTAATTCAGCATCTGTTCTAGTATCATTTCTGTTGCTGTGACAAATATTCCACCTAGGGAAGCAATTCGGAGAAGGAAGAGTTCATTGGGCTTAGAGTGCCAGGCTACAGCCCATCCTTAAGAGGTTGAGGCAGCAGCTGGTCACATCATCTCCACAGTCAAGGGCAGCGACGCATTCGCTCATGCTGCCTGCTTGCCTGTCTGGTCTCAGCTAGCTTTCTTCACTCTTCTACAGTGCAGGGTCCAGGCCATAAATGATGCCACCCACCTTCGGGGTAGGCCTCCGACCTCAGTTACCAGTCGGGACAGTCCTCCACAGACACACCTACAGGGCCAGCCTGACCTGGAGAGTGTCATTGAGAATTCCTTCCTAGTTGGGTCTGTGTCGTGGCAAGCTGACATTTCAAACTGTCATGTCCCTTTGGGGTTTCCTAAATCCAGAAGTTTAATCCGGATGGCAATTTAGTCTCCTAAGGCCCTTCTCTCCCCCAGCTGCTTCACCCATGTGTGACAGAAGATGGGAAAGACTGGTGTTGTCTTGGCTGGAGTTTGCCAAGGTATGGGCGGCTTGTGCTCGCCACTAAGGACAGTCTGGTGTGGTCTCCCTCGGACTCCTCCTGGCTGTCCCAAGCTAAGTCACCTCTTGGCCACCCCTGTGGCTCAGCTGGCCTCCTGGAGTTCTTATTACTCCTGCTTCTGGGCTTTACCACCTTGACTCTACCACGGTGTGCCCTTAAACAGCCTGCTGCTCGGTTCCTGGTGTGGGCCGCACAGGAACAGAGAGGAAGCCAGGGCTCCGACCCCCACACAGTTCACTTTGTGACAGAAATGATTGAGCATCGGAATGTTGTTGTTCCTGGGCTCCAAGGGCATGTCTGTCCTCCTCTCCATCTGCCTTGGCACATCTGCAATACTGCAGGGACCAGGAACTAAAGGGTTAACACCCAGCCAGACAGGTGTCCCCCAGGGCTGCCCCTCTGTCACCTCAGCACCCTTCACTCCCACAAACCTCTCATTCTGACCGCTATGATCCATTCACGGATTCACCCCCTCCACCCCTCAGAACAGCTCCCTTCTCTGAAATCTCAGGGACCTCTGCCCTTGACATTCCTTTAAGTCACCATAGACCCTGCCCCTCTGTGGGCTCAATCCCAGAGAGAAGATGGCAGACAGAGGAGCTTCGTAACCCCCTTTCTACCGAGCTCATGTCTCCTCAGGAGCTAAAAAGCGGAGTTCTTCTTTTCCAGGCTTGCTTAAGCCAGAAGTGGCTGTGAGTCAGCACGGTGACCCAGCAGATGCAAGCAGAAGTCAGCCAAGAAGGTTCTAGAAAAAGTGTTTGCTTTCTGGGTCTTAACTTTTACATTGCCAATGTTATTGTTACTGATAGATCCTGGCGTTATGTTATTGTTAAGAGCTGTGACTCTTATTAGTTCTTATTACCAACTCACTCTCTGAAAACCAGTCCCCTATGCCTGCTCTAAACAGGACGTGGGGCCTGAAGTCTTGGTGATTGTGTAGTTGGTGGTCCAAGAAAAGGGTATCATAGAAACAGTGGTGGTGGTGGTGGTGGTGTGTGTGTGTGTTACTGGGGATTGCACATCGATCTGCACATACACTAGACAAGCACTACACCACAAAACCACATCCCCATGCCTCCAGATTTCCCTTCACAGTGAGGAGGGATCCCTGCAAGGTGAACTTCCTGTTTTTCCATCCTGACACAACCATGACAGGTAGAGGGGAAATGAACCCTGTGCCTCTTTACGCACCTGTCTGATTCAGCTGGGGTGGTTTTCCCCACCCTCCTGCATCATTGGTCCTCATCTTGAAGGAATGGGCTTTCCTCTGTGGTCTCTTTCTATTCATATGAAAACTGCTTAATCTAGTTCTTAGGGCCCTGCCTACCTGGGCGGACTCACGAAGTCTGAGTAATGAACAGATGACAAAGAGGAAGACGTTTCCCCTCCTAGCCAGGCTGCCTGTCTTTCAAACCACACTCACTAGCTTGTTGACACGCTATCACTAATCCTCATTCATTGCTCATGAGCTCTACCTTGCTTTTGGCATTCCCTCTGCCAAGTCCTAACCACCCAGCATTCTTCTACCCGCTGTGTGGATGACGAGCCCAAGGAGGCCAAGAGTATGAATCATTTTTCCGGAGTTAGTCCAAAACCAGAACATTTAGATTGATCATTAATGCCCACTCTCCCCAGCACCTCCTCTTCCTGCAACCATCCTTCCCACATCTTTGACTTCATCCCCTTCCCTGTGGGGAAAGGAACACAGTCATGCGAGCAGAATTCAGAGAGAGCCTGTGGCACGAATTTTATTGGGAGTAAGGGTCCCGGCACCAGAGCAAGCTACTCCTGGCTGATCTTGGAGGCAGGTGGTGGCTTCTGTGAGTAGGTGAGGCAGCATAGGGAAGCATCTGGACACAGGTGCATGAAGGTTTCTTGCCTCATGCAGTAATTTCGGCAAGCCCCTTGGCCATTCCAGCACTTTTTGAATTCACTGCTTCCTGTGTGGAGGAAGACCACAGATCAGAGAGCAGTCTGTGGGTCACAGGTTAGACCACTGGTCACAAGTTGAACTACAGATTAGGCCATGCTGGTGACAGGTTAGCTCTCTGGTCATTTGTTAGACCACGAGTCATAAATGAGAGCACTGGGCTATCATGGAGCTTACAGATCTCATTCTAGGTAAGCCAGTAAGTCACAGGTTAGACCACTGGTTAAAAGAATAATTTCTTGTCCAGGTAAAAACACTCACCAGTACACTTCTCTTAGTAGCACTATACAATTACTTTGGTCTCATTCCAATCCGTGTTATAATGGTAGAGAAATTCAGGCTCATGGAGGTCAATAACCTTAATGAAATCATCATAGTCACATGGCAAAATCAGAGTGAAACCAAAAAAGCCTCCATTGCACAGACTGCCCCTGGCACAAAGGGACCTCTTTAATGTCAGGTTTTAGTGTGAGAATTTCCACCCACACAAAGGGCAAGGCTTTGGGGAACTTGGTCTTCTTTTGGGGGGTCATGGCATGGATAGAGCCTCTCATTTATTCATTCAACAAATGTGGAGCAGTGGGGATACCACGATTTGAAGTGAAAGAAAGTGCAGAGAAGGCAGTTAAAGATGAAGCAAATGCTTAGAGCTTGTGCTAAGTGCCCCATGGAGCCAGGATCCTGTGGTGGCCAGTTGGAGCAAAAGCAGGTAAGAGGGGGAACCAGGAGCACTCAGGTTTGTCTGGGACAGCGCATTACAGACATGTGACATCAGGCAAGAAGAGAGCCCGCAGAAGCCGGAGGTGGGAGTGGAAGGCTTGCCTCCATCTTCCTGGACTGAGAGACCCCACTGAGTTCTCAGTGGATGCTGCTGGCCCCATGTGTATGTTTACTAGCCCTTCTAACCCTGCCTTGCAGCCCAGCAGAGACGCATAGAATCGCCCAGAAATGGCCCCACCATCTCTAAGAGTCACAGTCTGAAGATGGTGTGTGACTAATAGTGAACAATGCCGTGTGAACCTGGCGCTGTTATTTCCCAGGTAATGTAACCTCGGCCCTGGATGCTCGTCTATACCACTCTCTTTCAGAGGGTAGTCATGGGAACATTGTAAATGGTTGGTAAGCAGGAACTGAGGTTATCAGGGTGAAACTCAGGTGACCGAGGCTACCAGCATCCATTCGAGGGCATTTCCCTCACTTTCCAGGTAGAGAAAGGGGCTTGCCCCAGACCACTGAGCTATGATAGGTTTAGAAACAGAACTCTCACCTACAGTCAGCACCCTTAGCATAGCATCACCTTTGACCTTCCAGCTCAGAGCTGGGGTTTCCACCACACAGTATGCCCATTCATCTGCTCTCAATTCCTTGTTTCTGTAGCTTAGGGCTTAGCCTCCCACGCCTGTGCGTGCCCCACTCCGGCATCACGGGCCCCCTCTGCTGTTTACCGCTTGCCGTTCCCACGGCCCGAGACAGCCTTCCTGAAATCCTCTGTTCACTCAGAGCTCTGCTCAAACCCGCCTTCTACAAAATGTATAGTGTGAGGTAGGGCAAGGTGTAATGAAACAGAGCTGATTCACACTCCTAAGTGCTGTGGCGGTATCCTGGCGCATCTGGGCTCTTCAAACCATTTTCTACCTCCACTTAAAATGTCTTACAATAAATGTTTTCAAAACTCATCTCACTATATTACTCTTTATTTTTTTTTCAGGTGTTAAATGTGTCTATAATGAACTCACCTTGGGGGAGAGGGGCATAGGTCAGTGCTTGAACATGTATTTAACAGATATGAAGTCCTGGGTCCCATCTCCAGGGGAAGGGAGGAAAGAAATACAACTTACCTGTTCACTACATCATTCTCTGTTTATGCATATTTTATGCCTTTCCAAAACAGAAGTTTTCTTAATTTTTCTCTCATCCTTTGTTTACATTTTGGCATTTTTCAAGTCAGGAGGTCCAAGCTGGCCTTGAACCCTCAATCCTCCTGCTTCAGCCTCCCAAGTACTGGGATTACAGGTGTATACCATCACACTCAGATCAAAATAAAAGGGATTTTAAACGCTGGAAGGATTGCTCAGTGGTTAAGCACACTTACTGCTCTATCAGAGGACCAGGGTTCGGATCCCAGCACCCACACCGGACAGCTCACACAAGTGCAAATAACTCCAGCCCCACGGAGTGTGATGCTCACTCCTGGCCTCTGTGGGCCTGAACACATACTTGCACAAACACACATACACCAACATGCACAGAGAAAGAACATAAGTTTTTAAAAGTTTAAAGAGCTGATCAGAGGCCTTCTGGCACCATCCATCCCCACACCACCCCACATGCCACTCTAACAGCCAGCTTGCCTCCATTATTCTTACATCTGTCACCTAACAGGATACCTGTCTGCCTCTTATCTGTTCCCACCAGCCTCCAGCAACCGTAATAGTGCACGGTTTTCAAATGAGTTCCTGTTGAGTGACTCCCATTTTACAGACTAGAAAACTGAAATGCAGGCTATACATTGCCCCACAAATCAGTGGTGGGACCAGAACTTAAATACTAAGTTGGCCTCTTGGACCTGGGAGCCTAGTATTCATTTACACACACACACACACACACACACACACACACACACACACACACACACACACACATGTGATTACCTGGTGGCACATGACCCAGGACCAGGAGAGCTACAAGGAGCAGAATCCATTGTGCCATGGCCACCAAGCTCCTAGGAGGCCGCCGGGATCAAGCAAGTCAGGAGAAGAATCCTGCATACAGCCTTGCTGCATACCCAGCTTTTATGGGCTGCAGAGTCATGGGCAACAAGCCCAAGTGGGAGGACGCAGTGACGTGGTCCCAAGACTGTTTAGCTCTCTCATGGCTAGCTCTGAGTGGACTAGTCAGCCACATCCTCCAGAGGCTGCACGGCCCTAGGGCCCATCTGAGACGAGTGGGGAGGGAAAAGAAATGAATCTTCCCAGCTGAGAGAGTAAGGAAATACTTGAGAAAGGCCAGCATCTTCCCACGTGATGGAATACTGACTGTCAACTTGACAGCAGCTAGAATCACTAAGGAGACCAACATTTAGGTATGCCTGTGAGCAAGTTTCTAGTTGGGTTAATGGAGGTGGGAAGACTCACTCCAAATGTGAACAACCAGTCGATGGGCCAGGATCGTCCTGGACTGGATGAAAAAGAGAAAGTGAGCTGAGAACCAGTATCCCTCCCCCTCCCTCCGCCTCCCTCCTCACTGCCTCACACTCCAGGTGCCTACCCTAACCAAGCTGTACCCTCAAACTGTGAGTCAAACAAACCCTTCCTCCCTTGGCATGTTGTCAGAACAGCGACAAAGGTAACCAGTCCACTCCCTAACCACTGCCAGACCTCAAACAAACCACTTAACCTAGAAGAGACCCGGGCTGCCTTCTACAAGAGGATGACAAGCGTCCTTTTCTCTCTTCTTTAAATTAATTACTGCCGGGCAGTGGTGGTGCACACCTTTAATCCCATCACTTGGGAGGCAGAGCCAGGCGGATCTCTGTGAGTTCGAGGCCAGCCTGGTCTACAGAGTGAGTTCCAGGACAGGCACCAAAACTACACAGAGAAACCCTATTTCGAAAAACAAAAAAAATTAATTACTTTGTGTTTTGTCTGCATGTATGTATGTGCACCCTCTGTATACATGGTGCCTGCATAGGTTAGAAGTGGGAATAGATCCCCTGGAACTGGAGTTAGGGATGGTTGTGAACCACCATGTGGGTGCTTAGAACCTAACCTGGGTCCTCTGCAAGAGCAGCAAGTGTTCTTAACCACTGAGCCATCTTTCCAGCCTCTAATCCTATGAAAATGGAAGAACACTTACCTCATAGAGAGCTATAACTACCTTCGGAGCAATGAAGGAAACAAGGTTCTCCAAGTGCAGCCCCTGGAGCAGCAAACCCTGCCTGAGAGAAATGAAAACTCCCTAGCCACACCCCATGTTTCTGACTCAAAGAGCCACGAAAGTCTTCCAGGGTTTTCTAAGATACCACTACAGACCGAGCCACCAGGATAACACAGGCACAGAGCTTAGCCTGGCATCTGGCACATGATCGTCCAGGTCACATCACGAAAGATGAGAAGGGAAAGGGTATCCCAGCAGAGGGAGCAGAACAGGCCCGGAAGGGCAGGTCACAGCAGCGAGACCCACTTAAAAGAGGCTGGGACGGCGCAGACCACGATGTCTTAAATGCCAAGTTCAGACTTTTATGTCATAGACAAAAACATGTTCATTTGTCTGTATGTTTTCGAAAATTTACCTCCGGTTACTTTTTCCTTGGGAGTTATAACCGGCCCCCGCCCTATGAGTTTTGACTATATAAGCCCTGACAACAGATGCCTGGAGGCCACACAGCTGCAAAGGTTCCAGGTGGTGGTCCTGACCAAATTCCATCTTGGTCAGTATTTAAATTTTTTTTTTTTTTTTTTTGGTTTTTCGAGACAGGGTTTCTCTGTGTAGCTTTGCGCCTCTCCTGGAACTCACTTGGTAGCCCAGGCTGGCCTCGAACTCACAGAGATCCGCCTGGCTCTGCCTCCCGAGTGCTGGGATTAAAGGCGTGCGCCGCCACCACCGCCCGGCCAGTATTTAAATTTTTAATAAAAGCTTGACTAAATTGGGGAAGAAAAAAAAAAGCAGGCTGGCCTAGAACTTACTATACAGCCCAGGCTGACCTGGAACTCACAATCCTCCTGCCTCAACTCTCAAGTGCTGGAATTCAGATGTGCACCGCCACATCCAGCAGATTACAATTTTAAATCAAGAGACTGAAACCCAAAGAGGGGAATTGACTTGTGGAAGTTCCCACAGTGACACAGTGACAGAGCCAGGACTGGAAGCAGGTCACTGTCCTCTCAGACTGTGGAGGGTGCTTGTCCAGCACAGCCCATCCTGCAGGTAGACCAGGGAGACTGAGGCAGCCAACCAAGCCACATGTTAGAAGCACGGTCACATTTGTGTCTTTCCCCAGTGCCAAAATGTATTGAATAATGATAAATCCACCAACTGTGTCCGTTTCACTGGATGCAATTTACCAGGCAGCTCTGATTTGATAATTAATATTGCACTTCACACAGTTTTATGCATGGACCTGTCTATACAGCTCTATATCTGTGTGTGTGTGTGTGTGTGTGTGTGTGTGTGTGTGTGTGCATGGGTGTGTGCAGCCACAGAGTTCAAGGGGTATTAGGGGAGGGAGGCGGAGGGCAGATAGGACCAGAGAAGTCACTGCCAGGGGTTAGACAACATACTAACAACACAAGTGGAGAGCCGCTGGGGCTCACAGAGCCCAGACACAGGCTTGAGCTGTGAGCCAGCCAGGCAGGCAGGACCAGTCTGGCCAGATGAGTAGATGGACAGTGGATGGATGAATGGTAATTCAATAAGGCCACATCAAATGGTGGAGACTCTGCTGAGCTGAAACCCTGGATAACTGGGAGATCTGTTGGTCCGTGTACACACACACACACACACACACACACACACACACACACACACACACACAGCAGGTGGTCACATGACAGGTCTGTGGGGATGTTGCCGTGGCTGCATCACTTGTCCTTTTTACGGGGTCCAGGTGAGGGTGCTGTGCCCTTTGCTAATCTGGTGTTCTGTGTGTTTTTATGCTGCAGTCTTCATACACCAGTGAGCCTGGATGGTCCCAGTCTGATTTGATAAGCGAATAGAGGGTGCTTTTTCCCTTATAGGACCAAATCGTCTATTGGTCTCCGCCTCATGGGCGGTGCTGGACCGGTGGTAGTGTCTATATGCCACTCTGCAGGTGCAGTCCAAATGAAGCCAACTGCCACTTGGTAAAATGGGATCACCCAAGGCAAGGCACGGCACAGCCTGAAAGCCACTGTCCCTACTGAAACTTGGAGCCGAGCAGAGCCTGGTCTCCAGACTGCGGAAGAGAGTCAGACCAAAGGGGGTTTGTCACTGTGGGGGCTGAGCCAGCCTACCCTGCTGTGTGGATCGGTTCCAAGCCAGGCACCTGGAGCCCCTCAGCCATGACCAGGAGCCCCACCCACAGGTACAGCGTGGCCTTCACAGCCTCCCCTCTCCCCACACACACACCTGAACCTCTCAAGAGCTAAAGGGGCTCCCCGCTCAAAGAGCTTGAATCCTGGCCTTGCAGAAAGGAGATAACTTTCTCCTTTGCTAAGATCAGTACCTTTCCTGCTCCTATATGCCTACAAAGGTTTAAATGAATAACGCACTGAGGGATAGACTGGACCAGTGAGATGGCTCAGTAGGTAAAGGCACTTGCTGCCAAGCCTACGGTCTGAGTTCAATCCCCCAAACCACATGGTAGAAGTAGGAGAAAGCCAACTCCTGCAAGTTGTCCTCTGGCATCCACGCAGGTGCCACGGCACACTCTCCCTGACCACCTCCCAAGAAATACATGTTTTTAAAGTATTTTTAAAAGGGGGCAGTAAACTAAAAGACAGATGCTTTAGTCCCTGGTAATCACGAGCCAGTGGATGATGAGTGAATTAATGATATCATAATTTGACATTCCGAACTCTTCACTACAGACTACATAGGCTCTCTCTTCCTCCAAGGCCCCTTTCCAAAATTAACCCTCCACCCAGAGCTTTCTCAAAGTGTGTCCTGTGAACTATTCGCATCAGTTACCACTTGGGCATTTGTTTAAAACGCAGACTCCTGAGCCCGGATCCCAGTCCTGCCCAATCGCCTCCCTTGGGAGGTGGAACCTGGGACTCTGAACACGGACCAAGTTCACCCAGAGGCTTCCTTCCGTCCAGGGCTGAAGTTGGTGTACCCGGTAGGTGGACACAGAGGACACCCAGACCCAGGAATAAACTCCCTTTCCGGCACCCCATTCTTACATGGCCACCCCCACGGGGAGGACTGGAGGCGGAGGTCTGCAGGGCGGGGACCCGGGCTGCCTTGACAGGGCGGGGCCGCACGGGGCGGGGTGGCTCTGGACCGGGCGGGACCGGCCCGAGGGGCTGCGTGCCGAGGCCAGGGGATAACGGAGTACCCAGCAGCTGGAGTGGCGGGGACTTGGAGCCTTCACGCGTCAAGGTAAACTTGCCTGTCCGGGCGTCGTTCTCAGGTCGCCTGCATACAGTGTGGTCCGAGGACTGGGAGCCTCGAACCCGCGTCCGGGAGGGTGCGGGTGGGCAGACCTGGGGCCTCCAAGGGTAGGGAAGCCTGGCACAGGGGACGCTACCACAACGCCCGAGCGCCCCAGGACTTGGGATTCACATCCAGGACCGCGAGTTGGGAAAGTTCCAGCCCAGACTCCCCGAAAGGGCACTTGAGTCCCGAGCCCGGTAGGCTCCCCCTTCTGCACCTTGTTCACCAAACCAGTTGCTGGGTCCCTCGCCGCTCCTGTCCCCCAACAAAAGCTGGAGGCCATGGCGCCAGCGGCTCCTGAATTTTTCACGCAGGGGCGGGCCGGGCACGCCGTTCCCATGGCACCAGGGCACTCGGGTTACAGCCAGAGAGATCCCCGGAGCCCCTCGCCCTTGTGGGGCACCAACGCGCCCCGCCCTTCCTCTTCAAACTCTGCCTGGGGGTATCAGGCAGCCGGAATAAACTTCCCAGAGGCCCCAATCCTCCTCAGCATCTGGGGCGGCCAGATGCTCTCTGTAAGGAGGGTCTCGAATCCTCAAGCCGAGGGACCGGTCCGGGTGGGCAGCATGTGCTATCGCTGCTTTAGATGTCCCAGCTTGCTGCAGCCTCTCTACCTGTCTGTGTCATGGGGAAAGGGTCATCCTTGGAATTTGGGAATCTGCTTCTGGG